GGGGCCCCCCCCCCCCGGAGCTGTCCGCCGCTTCTGGCGCCCCCTCCGCTTGCTTTTTTGGTCTTGTCGGTTAAGGGTTTTCGCGCGGGACGGTGCACCGACGGTTTCTTGAATCTGAGAGCCGGCAGACGTGGGCAGCGCGAGCATGAGCGGCGCGCGGACCCTCCACGAATGCGGGCCTCGCCCGCCGGGTGCAGCCCGTCGAGTCGCTCTGGCCACGGCCGGGAAGAGATACCCCCAGACACACCGCCCTCGGCACCCCTTTATCCCGGCTTGAAGAGGACTAGAGGGTCCCGGGGAACCCCTCGGGATGGACCGCTCGTGGAGAATGTTCCAAGGCTGCGAGGGAGCCGCGAAAGCTCCCCGGGTCCCCACATGCTCCGAGGGGCGGCGTTATCCGGAGCAGCAATGCTGAGCTGCGGACTTAGAGTCGGAGTCACGTTTGCATCCGAGGGACCTGGAGATGCTTATAAAGCTCGCAGCGCTCAGTGTCTCTTTTTACCGCACACATCATTCATGACCCGAAAGAACGAACTGGCCAATAACAGGGCTTTCAGGACCTAACCGCGGCTTTGCCCAGGCACATTTATTTGACTCTAGTGTAGATGACTGGGGTGTCCTAAAAGAATAGGGTCCGTGTTAGCCCTCGCAGCTGGGAAGTCTGGGGTGAAGGCCCTGGCCGTTTCCCAGTCTGCTCTCTCTGTCCTGTAGATGGTAGTCTGCTCCGTGGGCTTGTCCTCCGTGCCTGTCTGCACCTGCCAGGTTTCATAAAGTCCTACTTTAAAAACCTCATTATTAGTGCAAACCACTTTTCAGAGAGTGGGGATTAAGATCCCATCCTAAGTTCTGGGAGTACACTTTGTTATAGAACCATGTATTTCTGCTAAGACCTGGCTTCCTGAAGACTTTAAATGAACATTTCCGTTTTGTTAGATAGCTAGCATGGGATAAATGAGAGTTTACGTCCTCGAATGTTCCTTCCTTTTAATGAAAATTTTTGTTTTGTCTGAAACTGGGCTTTTGCACCCCCCCCCCCTTTGCCTCTCCCTTGCTTCTTGCTTCGTTACTCTCCCCTCAACCACATCTTTTTTTTTTTTTTTTCTGTCGAAATCCTTTCCGGATTTCAGTGTTTTGGTCAAGTATTGTTATGGAAATGTCCATCCCTAAAACAGAATTTAATTTTTTTTTCTTTTGGCATGTACCCATATTTGCATTTTCTTTTGGTGTCTTTTTTTTTTTTTTTTTTTTTTTTTTTTTTTTTTTTTTTTTAATAAACTGTGAAGACCGTAGTTCCCCACTGGGAGACTTGACTTAAGTGAGCACTTGGGACCATGGCCAAATGCTTGAAGTGTATGGTATCATTTCTGATACTTTGAAAAAGATTTGTTATTAGAGTTTGGGAAGACACTTCATTTGTGAGCGCTTACCTAACAGCACAAAGCCCTGGGATCAGTCCCCAAGGCATATGTTGGGCATGGTGGCTTGTTTATAACCCCATATAAACCATATAACCTTCTGGGGGCTTTCAGAAGGTCAGGGGTCTTCCTTGGCTACCTGGTAAGTTTATGGACAGCTGAGGGTACATGAGACCCTAGCTCAAAAACTATTTTTTTTTTTTTTTTTTTTTTTTTTTTGGTTTTTGGAGACAGGGTTTCTCTGTGTAGCTTTGAGCCTATCCTGGAACTCACTCTGGAGACCAGGCTGGCCTCGAACTCACAGAGATCCACCTGCCTCTGCCTCCTGAGTGCTGGGATTAAAGGCGTGCTCCACCAATACCTGGCGCTCAAAAACTATTATAATTCTTATTATGTTTAAAACATTATGGGGGGGTTGGAAATGTAGCTTAGAGGTTTGTCCAGTATGCACAAGGCTCTGTTCACTACAGGGAAAAATAAAAACAATAATGAAAATTATTTTTCCCCAGGTGGCCTTTAATCTCTCTCCCTAATTGTAGTACCAATCTCATCATGGATTTATAACTGGATTTCAAGGTGTAGGGTAAAGAAAGGAAGATGTCCTCGTTTGTTTTCTGTTGCTGTGATAAAACAGCACTACAGGGAAAAATAAAAACAATAATGAAAATCATTTTCCCCAGGTGTCCTTTAATCCCTTTGATGCAGAGCCCTAGGAGAGTGCTGCTTACTGGCTGGCTCTTCTTGGCTTCCTCAGTTTGCTTCCTCATACAGCCAAGGACTAACCTGCCCAGGAGTGGCATTGCCCACACTGGACTGGATCCTCCATGTCCATCATTAAGAAAATGCCTCACAACCAAGCCCACAGGAGGGCAGGAGCTGATGCAGAGCCCTAGGAGAGTGCTGCTTACTGGCTGGCTCTTCTTGGCTTCCTCAGTTTGCTTCCTCATACAGCCAAGGACTAACCTGCCCAGGAGTGGCATTGCCCACACTGGACTGGATCCTCCATGTCCATTAAGAAAATGCCTCACAACCAAGCCCACAGTCACATTTCCCTTCTGCATTTGAATGGGCTGAAAAATTCACTGTAGAATG